CACACATTTACACGTGCCATGCACACTCACGTGTGATTACACACACATGCACACTCATGTACACATATCATGCATGCACGCACACCCTCACACACTTGTGCACATACATTTACACGTGCCATGCACACACGTGTGATTACACACGTGCACACTCAACTACATACAGACAGCACATATGCACACACCCTCACACACTTGTGTACACACATTTACACGTGCCATGCACACTCATGTGATTACACACACATGGACACACAGGTACATACAGCACACATGCACACATCCTCACACACTTGTGCACACACATTTACACATGCCATGCACACTCACGTGTGATTACACACACATGCACACACTCAGGAACACACATTACACATGAACATACCCTTGCACATTGTGCACACACATTTACACACACCATGCACACACATGCGATTACACACACAGGTACATACACACCACATATGCACACACGCCCTCACACACTTGGGCACACACATTTACACACACCATGTGCACCCACATGATTACACACACATGCACACATATGCATGCACGTGTGCACACACACAAATACACTCATGCCTACACACATACACATGCACACACACAAAATATATGTACACATTCATGCACACAATGCATCCACATGCACACATACAGTTACATTCACAGTACACGCCCATTTATGCAATTACACTTGAGTACATGCATACACTGGCACGTGCTGGCTCACACACAGGCCCCTGTGTCAGAGCCCAGGGATGGGTCAGCATGCCCGAGGTTGAAGGTGCCCGTGCCAGTGGGCAATGCCGGGGGTTGGCAATGATGATGAGTCAGGAGCAGGACGGGAAAGCCGACGGCAGTTGCGATGCTGGGCGGGGTGGGGCTCGAGCTCAAGGATGGAACAGAGGCGAAGCTGGCCAGGCGTCCTTCCTCCCAACCAGCCTCTGCCCAGCCTCTTCCCTCCCCGCATCCCCCGTCTTCTCCCCCACCCGGCAGGGCAGCTGCACTGGTAGAGTACATCTGGCCTTGGCCACTCAAGTCTGGGCTGGGGAAATGTGATGATTAGGCTAAACGTGAGCCAAGCCCTTCCTTCCGGTGCCTCGGGGTGGGGAGGAGGGCACCGGGGCCTGCCCTCGCCCTCACGCTCCTTTCCCCAGGAAGGGCTCCAGCACCAGACACATTTACACAGGGCTGCGCCCCTCACTGTGAGCCCATCACAGCCTCCCTCCCACCATCTCCATCCCTGTCGCTACACCTTGACCTCAAGGGGACTGGGTCATGTCTGCCCAGCACCTGCTCTGCTACCAGTCAGCTCTTCTCACAGCACTGAGGTGATTCTGGAAGTCATGCCCTCTCAGGGTGGGGGCTGGGGAGGTGTAGAACCTGTTTACACCCCTCTTCCCTGAGCTGTCCTGGCCACCCAGGACTGGTCTCCACGCATGGCCTGGCAGAGCTGTGTAAGCACCTGCCCTTGGGCTCCGGGTGAGGAGCTGGATAAGAAGGTGGCCCCTCTTCCTTTCCACAGGGGTAGGATTCCAAGCCCTCTTCAGCCCCATGCTGGCCCCATCCCTGTACACGGAGGAGTGGCTGTTGCCCAGGTCTACGTCCCATGTGCCCTGAGCCCGAGCACGGACCCTCTCGGCCCGACCCCAGCCCCTCCTGCGGGTTCCGCTGTGCTGGCTGAGCAGAAAGCCAGGCTCTGATGGCTCAGGAGAGGGAAGGGCAGACCCCTGCCCGCCCAGACCTAGCCAGTACCCCTACCTCTCTGGAACCCGCGATCAGGACCCCTCGCTGTCCTTTGAACCCTTGGCCCCTCAACTGCACCTGCTCTACCCGTGTGCTCCCCTGAGAGGGAGAGGGGCCGAGCTTGCCAGCCAGGGACAGTCCTGCCGGCACCACCTCTCCAGCCCGCCCTTGCCCCCTGCCGCCGCCCGGGCTCACTTTGAGGGAGTAGGCCAAGGCGATGAAGCCCAGGCAGCAGAAGTTGAGGTAGACGAAGTTGAAGATGGACCATAGGTAATAGTCGTTCACCTCGGTGGTGTCCGGGTAGACCTCGATGACGGTCGTGGGGTTGGTCATCGTCTTCTTCTCGGCTAGGTGCTTGCAGGCCGGGGGCGCGCCGGGGGCCCGCACGCTGTCGGTCTTGCTGCTCTTGGACTCCATGGGGAACAGTGTGGGCGCCATCGGGGGAGAGGCCGAGGGCTCAGGGGCAGGGGCCGCTGGAGCCTGCAGGGCGGGGGGCTTGGACACGCAAGCGAAGCAGCCCTTGGG